TATAAATTCACGCTAAACGTTATGTCTGTGATTAGGAACCTTCCCGTTGGAAGAACGCCGACTATTTGCTACAAATTTTGTTTGAAATTCCCTTTGGTTGTTATGATTGATTAAACCATAATTTCTTTGAGCAGCCAACCACCTGTTCCAATCTACAGACCTCTTATTATTCTTATAATTTTCTTTGCTCTCCCTGCGAACCTTTTCAAACAGGGTAGAAAATATGACATAGATTAGAGTTAAAAATTTTGTTCCAACACAAGAGAATTGTCACTCTGGTCTTCTTCATTAGACTGACCTAGTGTTGATGTCACGTGGCTTCTCTAAAGTGTTACATCAACACTGGGTCAAATGGTATCTGATATCTTTCTAAAGTCAATGACCTGAACCAGACGTCTGTCACCATGGTAACTGGTGTTGGGTTTCATCATGTTGCAATTTTATAGCAGGAGGGATTTATACTCCTGTCTGACCATATATATGAATGTGTTTGAGTAAGAATTAACAGAGCAGACTATATTCTAAGGTTACCTTTCTAGTTACAATACCTTTTCACATCTCCATCAGCAGGGTAATTCCGCCCCCATGTTATCCAGGGATTTCGCTGTTGTTACATGTATATGACCTTTCGCCCCCCTCCCACAACAAACACTAATCTCTTAATCAGTACATACGGCATCTGTAAGATTATTTATCATGGCGGTTTTTACATCTTATCCCGCAATCAAGTTCTGATTTACAACAACAAACAGTGGTTTAGTGTTTGTTACACTAGTAGCTATGATAAGCATCGAGAGTTGTTCAAACAGAAGGCGTGAAAAATAAACCCTTGCGACATGTTGCTTTAATCTGCCCGTAATGTGTATGTTGGCAGACGCTCACGCCCACGTAGGCCAAAAACAAAAACTTGATTTTAAGTAAAATATTAGGCATCCAGTGCAGTTTTAGGGCTTGCAAACCCGATTTTTTAAAGTCAATATTCTAATCATTTATGTACATACTAAGTCTAAGGTTAACCACACTATCCCAATGTATATACGTATATTGACCCTCGCGAAGCAAAAAATCCCGAAATTCTGACGGAGAATGGTTACTGGAAAGGCCCTGGGCTGATTTTTAGGGTACCACCCAGAAAATAAAGGACTCATCTTGGAGCTTGTTTCTGCAGTTTTGAATGCCTTATGTATGAAATGCTGACTCAAATGTGCTAATGTAAAGCATTATGTGTCAATATTACAAAACTGATGCGAGCGTGCGAATAAAAAAGTTTTTTAAAAAAGGTTCCTTTCATTATTTATGAAATCTACGTGGTTATAAAGGTTGAACAAACGTTAACGACACTGAGTATGGTTTGGTGAATAATCTACTCTTCAAATTTATTTCTGCTTTACATTTTCGTCTTTTCGTTTGATTTTGGTATTCTATGACATTGATATCGTTTTCAAGTATTTTTTTTTTACAGCTTACGGTATATATTTGCTCATTTTGCAACTGTTTTGTACGATTTACAGTTTGGTTGAAAACTTTTTTGTTTGAAACGGCCGAAAATTCATGCGCGATCGGATGTCATCCATATAATCAAATCAACATGGCCTAAATTTGGCGTACATTCAACGTCATATTTGTCATATTTTTGTATGTCAAATCCCCAATCCGCTAACCTTGACCGCAGTGTTCCCACGCCGGACCACCCAGCTGTCCTGTCCGCTCTGTCGATCAGTGAACATGGAAAAACACTCACGGTGGCAGAGCGGGAGTTTCACTATTGAATTGTTCAAATGTTATTATGAACACAACGATACATCTATTGCAAATTCTTGCCCGAGGGCTAAGGCCATGTTGATTTGATTATATGGATGACATCTTCTGGGAACCCCAAAACTGATGTGAGCGTGCGAATAAAAAAAGTTTGGCCAAAAAAAAGTGCTTTCATTATAAAAATCTACGTGGTTTTGAAGGTTGAACAAATGACACAGAGTATGGTTTGGCGAATAATCTACTTTTCAAATTCATTTCTTTACATTTTCGTCTTTTTCGTTTAATTTTGGCATTCTACGGCATTGGTATAGTTTTCCAATGTTTTTTTTCAACTTACGGTATATATATTCGCTCAATTTGCAACTGTTTTGTACGGTTGGTTTTGTACAGTATGGTTGAAAACTTTTTTTTTTTTTGGAAACGGCCGAAAATTCATGCGCGCGTGGATGTCATCCATATAATCGAATCAACCTAGCCTAATTGCAAAATAAAGGAAAAGCACGAACAAATGTTCAAGCGAAATATAACTTGCGTCTATTTTAGTATAAATGCTGGTTATGGAGCATGAATTATGACGTTTCTTGCTGGAAAGGTATTAAAACTATTCGTCTATCAATTATGTGCCTGTAGAGAAGGCACTCAAACATAACGTGTACTTAAAGGCATCCGTTGCAGTTTTTAGGGCTGGGAAACCCGATTTTTCAAAGTCAATATTTTAGTTGATTATCTACACGTATACTGAGTTGAAACAACACTATCCCAATGTATATAGTGACCCAAGTGGAGTAAAAATACCCAAATAGTCTGACGGAAAATGGTTACTGGAAGGGCCCTTGGCTAATTTTAGAGTACCACCCATGAAATAAAGGACTAATCTTGGGGCTTGTTTCTGCAGTTTGAAAAGCTCTCATAAAGATTGCCTCATTTAGAATATTTCCAGTTTTGCTGCTCTGAAATCACTTTGGATGCCTTTAAAGATCGATACCATAAATTGTGTTGAAAACAATTGCAAAACAGGCGCGAATGTAGCAAGATGTAGTTCTTTTCAGCCTATAGCTCATTCTTCTCCGTGTCATGATGATGCAAATTGTATGTGTGCTTATCATTTTACAAATACATTAATGTATGTATGTCAACAACAATATATACACTGACATAGGAGAAGACATTTGACTCTTACGCATATTTTCGTAGAGGCGTGCTGTTAGTTTACGCAACAACACCTTTTTATTGTTTACTAGTACACAACGGGGTGGGGGTGTATTTGTTTGTCAACACGAACGGGTGGCCAATTAGCGGGATGTAACAGACCAGGATACGATGTTACGTCACAGTGTTACCGACAGGGGGTCCAAACATGACCGTCAAACCATGCTCGTAGTCGGGGGGGG